CTTGTTCTAAGTAGGTGCTTTAGACCACTGAGCCATCTCTCCAGCCCCAACTGCCCTGTCTTGACTGGGTTTGTAAGTGTGTGCCACCACACCTGCCTGCTGTTGAGCCTTTGAAGAGGAGGTGCAGTGTCATGTAGGGTTTCTCTCCCCAGGCCGTCCTGGTGTGCCTTGTAGTAGCCCCACAGCCTTGGGCATTTTACCCCTCTGTCCAGCTTCAGTTTGCTCTGTCTTCTTGCTGTCCTCAGCTGTGGAGAGAGCTAATAAGTGTAGCTCACTCACAGGTGCACAGTTGTCTTCCGGCCAGTCCTCCCAGCCCTCCCATCCCTCTCTGCCCTTCATACCCACCCTGGGTGGTTTTTTTTTTGTTTTCTTTTTTTTTTATGCTGATGTTTATTTATTATTTTTTGTCTTTGGGAGACAGGATCTTGCTATGCAGTTCAGGCTGGCCTTAGGCACACTTTGTCGTTCAGCTGGTCTCAAACTTGCAATGATCCTCCTGCCTCAGCCTCCTGAGTGCTAGGATCACAGGTGTGTGCCACCATGCCTGGCTGGTGCTAATGTTTATTAACAGATGGGACATACAAGGGCACACACCACAGGGGTGGGACACTCCAGGAACCTTGGGCTAGGCCCCCCTCTTGCTCGGTCCATTTCTCTCGGTGGCCTCCTGAGACTGATGCTTTGGAAAAGGGCTGCCAGCATATTCTCATGGCCAACCGTGCCAGGTGCTGGGTGGCTCGATGGCTTCTGGCATCTACATCTGCCGGTCCCCGTGGGCCCGAGGCTCAGCTCAGTCATTCACGTCCAGACCGAACTCTGGGTACAGCTCTTTGGTGGCGACACCTCGGATCACGGCCAGCTTGCCCAGCAGCATCTGCCCCACGTCCTTGACATCGTTGCACTCGTGCAGCTGGGAGATGTGCGCCTCCAGTTCATCCACACTGTAGCCTTCAGATATTAACTGGTTTATCTCCTTGTCCAGTGTGTCCCTCTTCTCCTTCAGTTCTGAACATCAAGGTGCAAGGCGTCCTTGCTGGGTTCATCAGCCTGGCCAGACTTGGGAGATGGTCGCAGGATTGGAAGGCCCTGCGGCAACTCCGGCTCAGTCTTGGTTCTGTCCTGAGGGGGAGGCGGAAGGGCCCTGGGTATATTTTTTACGTTGGTTTTGGATCCTGTATTTCCGGCTGGTGCCCAGGGCCCTCCATATAGGGTGACCTCATCCAAGTTGGAGTGGTGGCTCTGTCTGTGGTTGATACATGTCTCTAAAGGTGGCCCTCAGCTGGCCTCTTTGTGGAGAGGACGCAGAGGTGCTCCTCATGCTCCCTAGCCACCTGTAGTCTGGGTGCCGAGACTTATCCTGACCTGCACATGTTGGTTTCAGTTTGGAGGCTGGAAGCCTGAGTTTGGGGTGTAGGCATGGAGGTCCTGGGGGCCTCTGGCAGGTCTGTGGATGGCTGCTTTTGTCTGTGTGCTTGTGTGCCTGACCACCTTCCTCTTCTTTTTTTTGGCATCGGGGATCAAACTCAGGACCTTGCGCTTGTCAGACAGGCACTTATGCCTCTGAGCTATCTCCCCAGCACCACCTTCCTCTTCTTAAGGGGCCACCAGGCCTGTCTGATTAGGACCCATCCCTCTTGACCTCATGTAACCTTAGGTACCTCTGTTACTTTTCTTACTCCTGGGACAAAATACCCAACACCCAGAATTAAGGAAGGAAAGGTTTATTTAGCTCACAAGTTTGTGAAGGTTGCAGTCCATACTCGGCTGGCTCCAAGGCAGAGTAGCACATGGCGCAGGGCAGCAGCTCATGGCAACAGAAAACAGCAAAAGCAGCAAGAATGAAAAGAGAGGAGCAGTGGCTGCAGCAGAGAGCAAGCCCCGCTCCCTTCCTTACATTGCATTTAGGCTATCTGCTCCAGAGCGAGTATAGCACTCACACCCATAATCCCAGGACTGGATTGTGAATTAAACACAAACTCTAGAAGCCCACAGCCCCATCCATCACTGCGTGAGGCTTTGGGGAGGCAGCTAGACACAAACCATATCGTAGTCCTTCTCTAGACAGTCACACTGGCCTTGAGGCTTTCGTGAGTTTGGGGACGAGCGTAATTCAGCACCCAGCTCCACCCTCCTTCCCTGATTACTGGGCAACAGTCAGTGACATCTACGTGCCCCCTTGGACTTGGGGTGGTGGTTACAAGGAATGGCAGGAGGCAGTGACCAGTCAAGACCACCAGGCTTGTGTCGAGGCAGCAGGGCATGGAATTCACTGTGCCTGGGTGCAGACTGACGGAAGGCAAAAAGGCTGTCTGTGTGGTACAGAGAAAAGCAGAGCCTTTCTGGGGCTTGGACAGAGGGAGTCAAGTGGGGCCCTAAAGGACCCCAAGTGAGGTCTTGGCAAACATCTTTTTTTTTTTAAATCTTTTTTTTTTTTTTATTTTTTTTATTTGTGTGTGTGTGTGTGTGTGTGTGTGTGTGTGTGTGTGTGTGTGTGTGTGTGTGTGTGTGTGTGTGTATGTGGCCAGCCCAGCCCACCAGGGGGCGGGCTGGCTGGCATGTGGTGCTGGGGGATTGAACCGCGGTCCCTGTGCTTTGCTGAGCTTGTTCTAAGTAGGTGCTTTAGACCACTGAGCCATCTCACCAGCCCCATTGGCAAACATCTGTGGTCAAAGTTCTCTGATGTCTCAGTATTCAAGGTCCTCGGGGTGCCTGGTGTGAATGCCTGGGTGTCTTTGGGTGTCCTGGTGCTTGGAAGATTCCGCACTATGTCTTATCTCTTTTGTGACATACTGTGTTTGCCAAGGGCAGCTCTGGTGCTGAGCTGAGTCTCTGTTGAGAACAGTGGCTCTGCTGACAAACAGGTAGGTGCTGGGAGAGTCTGTCCCGAATCAAGCCTGACGATGGTATGAGGGGACATGGAAGGTTATGCTTATTTCTACCTCCAAGCTCAGAGCTCTCTGTGTCTGGTGGTACGCATACGTTCTGCAGTGTAGCAGGGGCTGTCTTGTCACCTCTGCTGCTGTGTCACAGTGCAGACTAGGGTAAAATCAGATGGGACGCAGTGCAAATTCTTGACCACCTCACAGCAACAGCTTCTCTTCAGTTCTGTTGGACACACCGAATGATGCCCAGTATGCCCACACAGCCATGCCAGGTGCGTGCCCATCAACACCCCCCAGAACCTGCACATGCATGAGAGCCTTTCAGACTGTGCAAGCTGGCATTGTAGCCCGCAGTGTGTTTAAATACATATGAACTGAGGAAAATGATTACAAATGAAGTGATTTTCTCTTTTCCTTTCTTTCTCGGGCTGGGGACCCAAGCCAGCGCCTTGCCTGCCCTGCATGTCTAGGGAAGTGCTCTACATGAGGCTGCATCCCCAGACACCTTTTTTTCCTTTACATGCATTTAACTAAGCACTGGGAACTCAGTAAGAGCAAGTCCTGAAATATATCACTGTCATGTTAGATGAGCAGTAAGATGGGAAACACCATAAGACTAAAATTTTACATGGTGATTATTCAGCAGGTATCTCTGGCTTGTCTTGGTGTGAAATCATGGGCCCCGCTCATGTTCTGGCTGCTGGGTGACGCGTGGCACTCTTTATAGGGGACACTCAGCAAAGGGCCTGGCCCTGTGGTAGAGAACCAGCATGTGAGTGCAGGCTGAGTGGTGTCAGCTCACGATCATTGTATAGAGACTTTTTACATTTTGGTTAGCCTGGTTCCTGGACCTGATTGCACCAGAACTGAAGGTTGTTACCTTTATGACTCAGTTTAAAGTGGGGTTGATTTCAACTGAGAAAGTTTAAGGAATTTATTTATTTATTTATTTATTTATTTATTTATTTTTTAGTGTATGATATAAATGTTATGTAACTAACATTGGGGGCTTCTGAACTGAGGCTTTCAAGCAGCGTAAGGTGGCTATCTTGATTTTAGTAGGTTCTTCGCTGTCTCCTGAAAGCATGCAGTGTATTGAAAGCCTGGTGCCTTCATCTTACACATGAGGATGTGAAGCTGGAGGGGAGGCTGGGTGAAGGGACCCCCCAGGACAGGCACTCTCGGGTGACTCTGGTGACCGTGTGTCCTACTCCCACTTGTGCAGGACCAACCTAGAGGCCTTACAGAAGAAGCTGGAGGAGCTGGAGCTGGATGAGCAGCAGCGGAAGCGCCTCGAGGCTTTCCTGACACAGAAACAGAAGGTGGGCGAGCTGAAAGATGACGACTTTGAGAAGATCAGCGAGCTGGGCGCCGGCAATGGTGGCGTGGTGTTCAAGGTCTCCCACAAGCCGTCTGGCCTGGTCATGGCCCGAAAGGTGAGCTTACCTAGATGAATGGTTGCTTGGGGCCAGGCCAGAAGGAAGCCAGACTCATCTCGGCTTGAGGGAGGACCCTGATGGTTGTGTCCCTGTGTGAATCCCTACCCCTGGCCTGGAAATACCAGCCAGGGGTCCTTCTGTGGGTGCTGTGTGCTGTGAATGGGGGAGCAGGTGCTGGGTTGTTACCTGGTCGGATTGTTTCTGGTGTGACTGGGTCACCTGTGGCTCCCTGTGGCTTCCTGCAGTCCCACTTCTGACCTCTTTCAAGGCAGCTTATTTGAGCTGGATGTTGCTTTCACATCTATCCTTGGTGCCCTTTCTGAATGTAGCTTACACCAGCCTCACCTGGAGAGCTTGGACTCCTCTGTGTTCCAGGCCACCATGTCTGTTGTGCTCCATGTTGTGCTTGTGCCCTTTACCCAGATCTCTCCAGCTACTGCACCTCATGCCTGCAACTGCACTTCGTGTCCTTGGACACATGACTGTGGCACTGGTTCTCCTTTTGCAGGGAGAGCTTGAGGCAGGGTCTCACTTTGTCCAGGCTGGCCTCCTGCCTCAGCCCCCTGAATACTGAGATTACAGGTGTGCACCACCATGCCCAGCTGACTGTGGCACTTTTTAGAAGCTCAGCATTAGTAGGTAACCACTTAAGGTGCCAGTCACTTGTTCTAGTTGGGACAAGTGACCCTGTTAGGGAGCTATAAAGTGGTGCCTGAGACTCGGTTAAATCTCAAGCACATCAGGCTGCTAAGGTCACAAGGATGCTGTGGGGCAGCCAAGGCTGGCATAACCTGGTCCCACATGCTCTCCACCCCAGCCTGAGGGAAACCAAGCCCCCAAGGCCAGTTTCTCCACAGACGTAACTCCCCAGGCTCCTCAGGAGCAAGCCCTGTGTTCCACTTTGTTCTGGGAGGCAGAGGCCTTGTCCCCAAAAGCAGAAGCTCAGCTGCTGTCCCATTGAGAAGCTTTCTGGTGCCCATAGCTGCCTGGTGCATAGACGCTCTCTTCCTTCTCCAACCCCACTTCCCTCCACCTTCCTGCCCCAGCTCATCCACCTGGAGATCAAGCCGGCCATCCGGAACCAGATCATCCGTGAGCTGCAGGTGCTGCATGAGTGTAACTCGCCCTACATCGTGGGCTTCTACGGGGCTTTCTACAGTGATGGGGAGATCAGCATCTGCATGGAGCACATGGTAGGTACCGGAACACCCTCAGAGGGCATCTGGCTCCAACCTGGCAATACGGCACACAGATGAAAAAGGCAAAGAGAATAATCAGCACTTGAAGAACTCTGGATGACCCAGTGCTCTCTGTGGGACAAAGAGCCATGAATCCAAGAGCTAATGACTTGAGAGGTGTGTAGTGGCAGAGTGCTGGGAGAGAGACTGCAGGCATGGCTGTAAGGAGGAACAGCTTTTTTGCACCAGGCATGGAGGCTCTCCAGTTAGTGGTGCATGGATAGTTTGATACATGCCAGGATGGCACCTTTACTGCCAGGAAGCTGTAATTCTTTTTGAGCCCCGTGGCCTCAAGCTGAGATGTTAGCTCATGTGTTAGCTCTGGAATCTGACAGGCTCTTGCTCGAGCCTCTATTCCATCCATCAGTGGGAGTCAGTTCTGACTCGTTTTGCTATGCTAAGACTCACAGCATCTTAGCCGGACTCGATTACATTCTTGTGGCCAATTAAGGGACCGTCTGCTTCTGTATATAGCCAGCTCCACATATCTCAGTAAATAGGGTTGAAGTAAAGATCAGATAAAGATGGAGGCAAGGGGCTTCATTTCTCAGGGGAACACAGTGTGGCGGTCTCCTACAGTGGCGCAGCCTTGCCAGCTGGCTGCAGTGATCTGGCACTGAGAAGCTCTCGCCTAATCTTTGGTGTTTCCCTGAGATTCTGGATCCATACCATGATCTTGGACTTAACTTGGCTTCTTTGTAGGTTCCTGCCTGTCTTCAAAAATGCTGGAAGTAACTAAGGTCCCCTCCCAGTTATCTCCTATGTAGAGGATTTAAGATTTTCATGTGGACCGGGTGTGGTGGCATGTGCCTGTAATCCCAGCATATGGGAGGCTGAGGCAGCAGGATTGCAAGCTTGAGCCCAGCTTGGGTGATGTAGTGAAACTCTGTCTAAAAATGAAAAAATTGAGTTGGGTGTGGTGACTCCTACCTGTGATCCCAGCACTCAAAAAGCAGAGGCAGGAAGATCACTGAGTTTGATCCCAATCTAGGCTACAAATCAAGTTCAAGACCAGTCTGAGATATTAATGAGACCTTGTCTAACTAAAAAAAAATGAAAAGAAAAAGATTTTGATGTGTTTAAAATCAAGTTAATACGTTTTAAACCCTTTTATTGTGTATAATGCTGGGTCCTGGCTATAAGGTTCTGAATTTATGGAGATGAGTGAAACCTGCCCTTTAGAATTTATAATCTGTTTTGAGTGCACCCTGATGGGTGTCTCCAGCCCAGGCAAGAAGTATATTAGTGGTATACTGCTGTATATTAGTGGTAGTTGGGGAAAGTCAGGATGTTCAAAGGCTGCTGCTATAAGGATGCAAACAGGGCTGGTGAGATGGCTCAGTGGTCTAAAGCACCTACTTAGAACAAACTAAGCCAAGCAGAGCACAGGGACCACAGTTCAATCCCCCAGCACCACATGCCAGCCAGCCCCGCCCCCTGGTGGGCTGAGCTGGCCACACACACACACACAAAAAAAATAAATAAATAAAATTTAAAAAAATATTTAAAAAAAGAAAAAAAGGATGCAAACAGCCAGTGGTGTTTTTTTTTTTTTTTTTAATGTATTTAGTACAGGGTTTACAAGTTCTCACTACACAGAGCAGACTCCTAGTGATCCTCCTGTTTTCAGCCTCCCAAGCAGCGTGTGCTACCACACACAGTCTCAATCATTGGCTCAGCATGCCCCGGGGGTGGGGCCAGCACAGCCTGCCGGGGATCCTACCCTGTCCTTGTGTCTGCCTAAGCAGGTGCTTTAATCTGGTGAGCTATCTGGCTGGCCCTAGCCAATGTTTTTACCACAACTGCCTGGAATTCTTTTCTTCTCTTCTGAGGGACTAACAATAATAATACTGGTGGTAATACTAGTAATGATAATTGGTATTCAGTGGGTGTGTGTTATATCAAGTATTACCCTAAGCAAACCAACATGGTACTGCATTTTCTTTCTTTCTTTTTTTTTTTTAACGGAACTGGGGGTTGAACTCAGGCTCTTGCACTTGTCAGGCAAGCACTTATGTCTACTGAGCCATCTCCCCGGCCCCTACATTTTCTTAACAGTCTTTTTGAATGAGTACATAAACTTACCCAAATGAGGCACAGAGAAACTGATCAGTTTACTTAGGTCTTGCAGGTAGTAAGTGGTATTGGTAGAACATGCCTGTAATCCCAGCACTCCGGAGGCTGATGCAGGGGTATCATAGTGAGTTCAAAACCATCCTGGCTGCAAAGTGAGCTCAAGCCTAGCCTGAACTGCACAGCAAGGCCCTGTCTCAAAAAGACAAGAAAAAAAAAATTGAAACCCTGCCAGTCTGACCCCAATGATAAACTCTCTGGGATCCATCAGGTAGTAACAAAGGGACCAGGCCTGTCTCCATCCACTTGGCCAAGGACTTCAGAGAGAGCAGCTGGCTTTGTGGCTGCTGTTTTACTCAGTTCCTGTTAAGCAACATGGTGTGAGGGGCTTTAGATTCTGGCAGGTTTTTGTCTACATCTGTGGTCCACAGAAGCCCACTAGAGTGCTTGCTCATGTTTACCGTGAGTCTCGGAAGTCCAGGCCATTCTTGGCACATCGCAGATGCTTGAGAATTGTTTACTGACTGTCACCTTCCCATTGTGATTTTGGACAGATTTGCCTGTCTTTCGCTCAGTATCCACATCTATAAAATGACCATTATTATATTTTCTTTGTTTTGCTGAGAATGTTTGTCTTTTTTTTTCTTTCCTGCTGCTGTTTATCTCTTTTTTTTTTTTTTTTAATTTAGGACAGGATCTGCAGTGATGAGAGGGTCTCACTGCGTAGATCAGGCTCGTAGCGATCCTCCTGTTCTCAGCCTCCCAGGTGCTGGGCTTACAGGGGTGCACCGCCACGCCCGGTCCCAATCACTGTCTCAGCACACCTTGAGATCTCACTCCCGGCCCTGCTTCTGCCTAAGTAGGCGCTTGGTCTGTCTTTTTGAGATAGGGTCTCACTATGTAGTTCAGGCTGGCCTTGAGCTCAGTGTGTAGCACTGACTGGTCTCAACCTTGCAATCATTCTCCTGCCTCAGCCTCCTGGATGCTGGGATTACAGGTGTTGAGCCACCATGCTCAACATGCTGGGGATGAATTAAACTAAGAAGGTGGGTAGTCTGGCACACTCTGCAGTTCTAGCCTATAATCCCTGCTACTCAGGAGGTTGAGGCAGAAGAGTTGTAAGTTGTTTTTTTTTTTGTTTTGTTTTTTTCCACAGCGGATTAATAGGACAGAGTTGTAAGTTTGAGCACAGCTTGGGGAATTTAGGGAGACCCTGTCTCAAAATTTTAAAAAAGGGCAAAGCTCAGTGGTACAGCATTTGCCTCCCATGCTTAGACCCTGGATTCAGTTGTCACTGTTTCCTGCACATGTTGGCCTTTGGCTTATTCCCATGCCTGACAGACAGACGGGCTCATGGGCTGCTGCTCGGTGGCTGCTGTGTGCTCAGTCCAGCCAGGTGTCCCTCGGCTCCTTGCTTTTCCTTTCTGTCTCTCCAGACCTTCCCCTCTGGTGCCAGCTCTCAGGGAGCCCCACGAGAGCCCTCCTGGAGGCTCATTCCTTGTTGCCTCCCATTATAGTCATGAAGAAGGGCTGTACACTGTCTCTGCCTCTGGTGACATTGGTTGGTATAGGATACAGTTCCTGCATATGTCTTCTGTCCTGAGGTTACTGAGAAGTGTTCCTTCCCCCTCACTGCAGCTGGTGTGAAACAGTCTCTGTGGGACGCACCGAATAATTTCTGGCTCAGCCTGGCCCCTGGCCTGGTTGCTGATTGCTTCCTACTCGGCACCTAGTTACCCTGGAGGCCTGTTCCAGGGCCTTGGGTTTCTTCTGCTCTGTGGTGATGGAGATGGCTTCAGAGCAAGCCCAAGGGTTATAGGTGAAGCTGTATGAATGGCATGTCCTCAGGCACTAGGGGAAACAGTATGTGAGTGATGGTGATAGACAGTGACAGGTTTGGGCAAGGAACTTGCCTTCTTCCTCCTAGCTCTTGCTGGCATCCTAGGAGGGTGCTGGGTGACTAGAGAGGGTGGCAACCAGCTCTCTAATCTTCTGCTGCTTCCCTGGTCCTTGTCACCTCACATCAGTCACTGAGATGGACTGCTGATCCCTTACCTGGTGGGTAGAGGGTTCAAATCATAGCCAGTAAGCACCAGCATCTCTGACCAGGCCTGCCCATGAGTGTCCTGTCTCCCTGTTTTCACAGACAGGGAGTGTTTCCTGGGACTTCTACCCCTTGGAGAAGCGCTGGGTGAGCGCTGTTCTCAGAGGCCCTGTCACAGGCAGGCTTTCTAGGGTGTTTGGCCCTTGCAGCCAGCTGGAGTTTACATTAGCTGATAACATGGGTTCGGCTACACACACACACTTCCTGGTCGTTCTGTGCTGGACTCCACAAGCACTGCCTTGAGGGTGGAGGCGTTGAGAGCAGCATCTTCCCCTCCTGAGTGGCTCTCAGGGATGCATTGTGGACGGAAGCATTTCTGAACACCAGCTGTGTGTTATTTCAGGCATGCTTGTGTTCTTCCTGAGCTGTCCCCAAGGTCTAGAGTGCCTACATTTCTCCCTGTCTCATAGGGAGCCAAGGGGCATTTGAGGGCTGATGTGAAATTTCAGGGTGCTGGCCTCAGAGTTTGGGTAAGGCGGCCGCCTCCACTCCGCCCGCTTGTCTCTGCCCCTGTCAGGTGGGCAGGATGATGTTACTTGTCTTACGCTGACATGTTGTGAGGAGATTCTGCTTCTTCATGCTGGACTCTTAGACAGTAGTCGTGCCCTTTGTGTCCTTGCTGTGTCCCTTTTCCTAATCTTCTCTAGCAAAAGATGACACTGGTTGTAGCAGTGGTTGGTGTCCCCACTGGACCATTATAGTAGCCATAGAGCATGGCTACTATAATGGTCCCCAGAGCAGATCCCCAGAGCAGATATCTCTGTGATTAGCCTGGAAGCCGGAGTCTGGGAAGCTGGCCATCGGAGGTTGGAGGGTGAAGCCTTTCTGAGAAGTTGAGCATGGTGCTGGGTATCTGGGGTCCCAGTTGCTGGGCTGCTGAGCAGGTGGATGGAAGATGCAAGGTCAGCCTAGGTAACTTAGCAAGCTCTCTCTTCAACCAGCCGGCCACCAATCAACCAACCAGACAAAAGCCTTTTGAGGGGCAAGCACAATACCAGGGATCTTTTAGGTGATGCGCATAGGGTGGCTGAATGGGGATGCCAGGTAGGGAGAAGGCCTGCTCAGCCGGGGGGCTCCGTGGGAGTCAGGTCTTGGAGTTAGTGCTGACCCTTGGGTGTATTCATGTCCAAAGAGCAGCCAGGAAGTGTAGGCAGTGCTGAGCAGAAAGCAGCTCTGGGCCGAGGTGCACACAGTTATGAGTAACCAGCTTTCTGTCCCCTGTCCTCATTTCCTGAGCAGGAACTCCTGTGGCAGCACCCTGCCCAATTGTCCTGCCTGGGAAGCTGTCTGAGGGCGACCACTTCTCTTGAGCTGTCTTCTGATGGGGCTGTAGTCAGCATTTCCCAGTTACCCTCTCAGCTTCTGAGGCTCTTCAGGCGCCCACCGAGGTCTTTGCATGGTGTTCCGTGTCATTAACACTCAGCCTCGGTGGTTTATGATGAACACTCAGAAGTGGACAGAAAGCTAAAGGGACTGTACACCGTGCTCCCGTGAGCTCACCACTCAAACCTACTGCTGGCATCTTGCTGCATTCCCTTTCTAACCATTGCGCACATGCATTTTGGATGCATTTGAAAGTCAGCTGCATCCACAGCATTCATCGAGCCTGTCTCCCGGAGGTCCAGCTGGGGCTGGCCTTTCACAGCAGTGAGCTGTGTTTGCAGTGAGGCCCAAGGGATGCAGCTTGCCTCATCTAAAGGAATGCACTTGTCTTGGGAAGTAGATTCCTGCCCAAGTGGTAGCTGAGCAACCAGGGAGCTGGGGACTGGAGTCAGTGGTTCTTATGCAGGAGTAAAAGCTTGTGAGCTATTATTTTCATAAAGCATTTGTCTCTTCTATAGAAAACCTTCACAAAAGTACCATTGACATAGCTAATAACTGGTTTCTAAAAATAAGCACCATTTAGCAGCTCTAGTCAGCCGAAGAGAGAAGGCAGTGAATTAGAATTACAAGGTTCTAGGTTAGTTGCAGACGACTCTGGGTGATCCTAATGAGCCAGGGCCCTGACATCCTGCTAACTCTGTTGTCTTCTAACCCTGCTCGTAGTTGAAGAGGTTAAAGGAAAGAGACTTGGTGTTTCTTCTTTTTTCTTTTCTTTTCTTTCTTTTTTTTTTTTTTAGATGGTTTTCACTATATAGTTCAGCCTGGCCTTGACCTCACTGTGTAGTCCAGATTGTCTCGAACCCACAGTGATTCTCCTGCCTCAGCGTCTTGAGTGCCGGGATCACAGGTGTGCACCACTGTGCCCGGCTGTTTTTATTTATTTATTTATTTATTTATTTATTTATTTATTTATATTTTAGGGAAGGGTCTACAGGGTGTTCAGGGTCTCACTACTAGATTGGACTCATAGTGATCTGCCTGTTTACAGCCTCCCAAGAGCTGGGATTACAGGGTCATGCCACCATGCCCAGTCTCAATTGCTAACTCAGCATACCCCAGGGGTGGGGCCAGCACAGCAGGCCTTTGGATTGAACTCCTGGCCCCTGCGCCTACTTGCAGGCGCTTTAATCAGCTGAGCTATTTGGCTGGCCCCAGTGGCTGTTTCTTTTTAATCTAAGGGGCCGGGAGATGGCTCAGTTAAATCTTTTTAATATTTCTGGTAGAGTTTTTGGTGCTGGGCTCTAGCCTCCACTCTCCTATATGGATCTGTACCTGGCCAAGCCCCTAGAAAGTGGCACATGCTCACCTAGCCGGGCACCCCTCTGCCCCAGGCTGCCTTTGGCTATTGGTTGAGAGTTGTGCCATTTATTGTCAGCATAGAGAAAGGAACTACAAAACCACAGGGTTAGCTTTCAGCCTCTTTAGAATCAAGCTTTGACAGAATGGATTTGTTATCTTGTTTTAAGTATCTAGTCCTCTTATGATAAAACAAAACCGCTTAAACAAAGCTGAAACACAGAAGTAGCGTGGGAACTTGTTGCCCTGAGCCCCTCTTCCCATTGGTACGGCTAAATAGGGGTGTCTTGGTGCTTCCAGGAGTTGGCTTATCTGGCGTGGTTGCCTAGACTGTGCTATTGCCCTGATTTGGCCAGCAGGGGCCTGTGGTGTTGCATGGGCAGCCAGGCTCCTAGAACAGGATCACCTGAGCTTCACGTGGGCCCTGCCTGCCTTAGAGCTTTTCCAGTGTTCAAAGAGGGGCTCTTTGGTTCTAGATTCATGTTTTTGTTTGTCTTGGTACCAGGAATCCAACTTGGATCCTTGTGCTTGCTCCCCTGGGGTGGTGATACTGGTGTACGTCTCGGTCCGAAGCCATGAGTTCAGGGCTGTCTGTGTGCTGGGTAGAGTGGGCAGCCTTTGAGGACCACACCGTCATTTCTCTTCATTATTAGCGTCCTTTAGTTGACTATAATGGAAATTGGTCGGTTCAAACTTATCTTTTTATTTATTTTTAAAATGTATTTAGTACAGGGTCTAGCTACACAATTTGGACTCCTGATCCTCCTGTTTTCAACCTGGGAATTACAGGGACACGCAACCATGCCCAGTCTCAGTGGCTCCCTAGGGGCAGGGCCAGCACAGCACACTGGGGGATTGAACCCCAGTCCCTCCTGCTTCTGCCTAAATAGGTGCTTCAGTCTGCTGAGCTATCTGGCCAGCCCAAACTTTCCTTTTTATAAGTATAAATTTTTTTAGTTGATAGTTTGTTTTTAGCATTGATTCAGATAATATTTCTTAGAAGATCTGTGTCCTTTAATGAGTCTCGCCTCTTCTAGAACAAGTAGTTTTGTATTTACTTAATACGGCCTTTACACATAATGGACGCTCATATGTGTTACCTCATTTATAGATTTAATTTTCTATTGCTTTAAATTAGCTTAATTAGCTTAGTGTTGTGGAGTGTGTATAGGGTTTTTTGTTTGTTTTTTACAGTGCTGGGGTTTGAACCCAGCACATGCTAGGCAAGTACTGTATCCTTAGCTACATGCCTCCAGTTTAGGAATTTAAAGAGGTAAAACATTTAAAAGATGAAACTGTCATGCAGCAGAAATCCCTGTGGTCTAGACTGAAGGTAGTCTTCGTAACATTTTAAAATTTTGTTTTGTGTGGGCATTCGTACACTTTGCATTTTATAGAAATGGCTTCTGCTCTTCCTTTTGCTTGTCTTTCTGTGACCTCTCACTGGGTGGGCAGTGTCATGAGGCTAAGTGATCTCTGTGGCAGGGGTACTGGTCTCTGTCTGTCACCAAGGCCCAGCTCAGGGCCACTCCTGTTTTCCAACTTCTGCTTTGTTGCTTTGAGCAGGAATTGCTTCCTCCTGTTCCCTGCCTTGCTCCAGAAGGGGATTTAAGTAAGGGACCTTCCCTTTTCCACCCCTGGAACCTGCTGAGACAGCAATTGAGACCAGGCATGGTGGCATGTGCTTGTAATCCCAGCACTTGGGAGGCTGTAAACAGAATCACTATGAGTCCGATCTAGTAGTGAAACCCTGAACACCCTGTAGACCCTTCCCTAAAATATAGGGGAAAAAAAAAAAAAAAAAAGTAAGAGACCTTCAGTGTGATCCCTAGCAGAGACCTCTTCCCTGGCCTTGCCTGGTCCTCCTCTCTTCCTTCCTGTCCTGCTGTGGTTCCCTCTTAAAGGTCCCAGGGCCACTCTTGACCTGATCTCCCTGCAGCTCTGCAGAGCCCTTTGAAATGGATCACGTGCCATCCCAGGAGTATGAGGCCTTTTAGGGCTCCTCTCCTTTGATCTTACTGAAATGCCCCATTCTGTTCTCTTCTTCCCCTTGCTCCTCCCACTTGACAATTGCAAAACCCAGTGTGATTCAGGAGTAAGATTTCAGCTCAAACCAGAGTGGTGGTGCAGGCCTGTAATCCCAGCACTCAAGAGGGTGGGGCAGGAGGATTGCTGAGTTTGAAGCCTGCATAGTGAGTTCAAGATCAGCCTAACTGGGGCTGGGGAAGTAGTTGAGTAGCATAAGCCTGCCTGGCAAGTACCAGGTTCTGAGTTCTAGACCCACTACCCCCCTGACCCCCCAAAAAAACCCTAACTACTAGTGAGACTGTCTCAAAAAAGATTTTGCCTTAAATACTGTCTTCTGAGTTTAGTTACAACGACTGCTCCCTTTTTTATGTCCACAGCATTTTTATCTCTGCTCTCTGTAGACGCTACTCTAGTCCGATGCACTTTGGATTTCGTTAATTATACTGTTAGGAGAATAAATGCCAAATGCGCATTGTGATGAAAACAGTGATGACCAAGCGCTAACATTTATTGAGCACTTTCTATGGATACGTACTGCTCTGCGTGCTTTATGTGCGTTAGCTTGCTTAATCCACTCAAGAGCGTGTAAGTATGATGTCCTCTGGTGACCATCCTCATGGTCCTGGGTCCCCTGGGTAGGAGGCGTCAGAGGCAGAGCCCAAGTGCCTGGCTGCTCCCCTGCACTGTGAGTCCCTGGTTGGGATTCTGTGTTGGAATTTGCTTAGGGAAGAGAGCAGGGCTGGAGTCGCTGGTGGTCGCTATCTGGAGCAAGGCCAGGGTGGGTGCTTCTGGTAATCTCCTGGGGAGATGGGCCGGGTGCCAGATTTGCTTTTTGCTCCTGCAGTTTAACACCTGAAATGAGAGAAATGTTACTAAATGGCCTGGCATTTTTGTTCTCAGGATGGGGGTTCCTTGGATCAGGTCCTGAAGAAAGCTGGAAGAATTCCTGAGCAAATTTTAGGAAAAGTTAGCATTGCTGTGAGTATGTTGGGAAGTTTTTCTTTCAGGTTCTTTTATTGATAATGACTTAGTAGAAAATAGATAAGGGAGGAATGTAGGAAGTCAAGGGAGGGAAAATTTATTTATTTATTTATTTATTTATTGAACTGGGGATTGAACTCAGGCCCTTGCGCTTGCCAGGGAAGCACTTATTCCACTGAACCATCTCCCTGGCCCTAGAAAATTTATTTTTATTTTTTTTTTAAATTTTTTATTTATTTATTTATGTGCATGTGTGTGTGTGTGCGTGTGTGTGTGTCCAGCTCAGCCCACCAGGGGGCGGGGCTGGCTGGCATGTGGTGCTGGGGATTGAACAGCGGTCCCTTTGCTTTAGTTAAGCTTGTTCTAAGTAGGTGCTCTAGACCACCGAGCCATCTCACCAGCCCAGAAAATTTATTTTTAAAGAGGGGTTCTTTAGCCGGGCATGGTGGCACATACCTGTAATCCCAGCACATGGGGAGCCTGAGGCAGAATACAGAGGCCAGTATCGGTTTCCTAGTGAATTCAAGGCCAACATGGACAATTTGGTGAGACCCTGTCTCAGAAAACCAAACCATGCTGAGAGGGGTGGTGCATGCCTGTAATCCCAGCATTTGGGAAGCCAAGGCAGGAAAATTGCTGAGTTGGAGACCAGCTTGAGCCACATAGTGAGACCCTGTCTTAAAAGAAAACGCCCTGGGGCTGGGGAGATGGCTCAGTAGGATAAGCACTTGACTGGCAAATGCAAGGATCTGAGTTCAATCCCTGGTTCTGTCAAAAAAAAAAAAAAAAAAAAAAAAGGAAGAAAACACCCAAAACCAAACCAAAACAGAAAAATCCTAAGAGGTGTGTGTGGGTATTGTGTTCTTAG